AACTACAGAGCTCACCAAACTGTAAGGCAAAGTTCACCGTATTTTTCCAACACTTTGATTTTTTTAAAAAAAAATCAAAGGAAGGGGTGCTGACTAGACTTTGACCATTGACCGTTGACCCCCTGCCGCCGCCGCCGACCTCCGCCGGCCACCACCGCCGGTCTCCGCCGCGCCCCCGACGCTGACAGATGGTTGACCAGTGTTGCTATTTTATTTTTTATTAATTTTTTAATTTTCAAAATTAAAAAAAAGGTAAGTTTTGGTGTTCAAAGTGGTGAACTTTTCTTTATTTCAGGTGAGCTTTACATTGACCATTGGTGAGCTTTGCAGTGTAATGTGGTGAGCTTTGCGTCATCTCACCGAAGCATGTCATCTCACCGTAAGGTGTCATCTCACTAGAGTCAATCCCTATATATATATATATATATATATATATATATATATATATATATATATATATATATAATTGCATTTGTTTTACGATGTAAATGAGACAAATTGACTTTTTATATCATTAATTTATTTAAAATTATATTCACTTCATGGTCAAAGAGAACTATAACTTGACAAAAAAATAGAGTAATATGATTCTATAGTCCCTGTGATATTTCATAAGTGGGTAAATAGTTTGCAAAAGACATCAATCATGTAACAATAAAAAATAGCTAATCTAAAATTTTAGTTGTAATGTGTAATTTTAAACCATAATACATTATCTTCCATATTTTAGTTTAACTCTTACAACGAATTCTACGTCTCTTCTATAGTGATATTCTTGAATAATAGTACAATATCTTATGTGAGCTCGATATTATTTTGTTTTTCATCTAGCTTTAATCTAAGGTAATATCGTGTGAGAAAAGAGCTTGAAAAAGACTATTCCACGAGATAAACTTCTTATCCTGTTACTGTTGGGACTGCGCGTCCCCTCACCCCAACCCTGCATTAGTATGATATTGTCCGCTCTGGGTCAAGCCTCACGGATTAGTTTTTGGACACCTCCCAAAAGGCCTCATACTAATGGGGTTGGGTAAACCTATATATTTTGGTTCAATTACTCCTAAACATCCGGTGTTTGATGTTGACAAATAATATACTTCAAAGTGAGTTAGGTGGGAGTAAAATAATGAAACAAGCAAGCTCCCCCTAAGAATAAGCATATTGAAAATACTTACTTTGAACTTTTCTTGTGTTTATTAAAAGTTTAATTTTGATGCAAATAGTTACACAAGAATGCACTCAAGTCAGATTGCATATGCACCACTTTGAAGTATGCATCTTCTCCCCCTTTTGTCAAAATAAAAAAGGACATTTTGAAAATTTTAACCATGTATAACTTCTTGAAACCCTCCCCTGTCATAATGAATTTTTAGGAAAAATGATAGTTTGGTAATCATTGAGCAAAATGTGCATTTACAACAAAACTCTCCTAAAACCAAAAACTCCCCCTAAAATGATACAAGTTTAAAAACTTTATTTTTCAGGGATTTTTGGGAATTATTTTCTAAAACGCGTGATTTAAAGATGAATTTTGAAAAAATATTTAATTTTGCAAACCAAGGCTAAAACAAATAAAAGCACGTATGGAATAAGGTTTTATTTTTGAAAATAATTAAAACCAAACAAAATATCTTATCCCAATAAGCAAGAAGAACTTACCTTGGCTTATGCCGTTCTTTCTTTGGCTATGAATTCACATCCAATTGAATTCAACAGAAACTAATCATTTATATATACAATATATATTCATTGTCACTTATTGATACTTCTTTTGCCTTCTTATTAACGTAGGTCTTCCTATCATGTTTCTTTGTGTGTGTGTGTACGAAGAGTACAAGTTAGAAGCTTGTTTACTTTTACCCTAAAAGAATAAAATGTATAAATAAGTGTAATCGTGTTAGTTAAAAAAATTTAAATAAAAATAATGTTACTAATAATACTTACAAGGCGTGCTTAAGACTCACGAAAAGACAACAGACCATCGATGTGTGCGGCGCTAGCAGGGGCATTCTCATCACCACCTCGATGATTTTTCTTGTTTTCCTTGGAGAATGCCAAGAACTTTGGCGTCTTCTAATACTGTTTAACAACATTTAATACAAATATACAAATAAAAATTCAATAAAAATTTGAGTAAATTCCATAATTGGTCCTTTATAACAGGGTGGTTTCCCTATTTAGTCCTCTATTATCAAATATTATTCCAATGATCCTTCTTTTACGGGTATCTTTCCACAAATAGTCCTTTTTTGATCTTCTATCATGTTGGTATTAATTTCAGGGCTAAAAATGTAATTTCACAATGATAATATGTCTTTTTTGTCATACACAATTCCAAAGGCTGTTCCGTTTGAGTCATTTGTGAATTATAGTTGTTTTTTACTACAACCATAGTCTATAAATGTGGTCTTTCGTCAAAATCATAGCCCACAATCATAGTCATTATTTTTGTGTTATCCGCTTAACAAATATCAAAAGACGTCACTAAACATAATGTTAATGTCAAATTATACTTTTAGCCTTTAAATTAACACCAACACGGCAGAAGATCAAAAAATGGATCATTTGTGGAAAGGTACCCTTAAAAAAGGACTACGAGGGTAATATTTGATATTAGAGGACTAAATATGGAAACCACCCTGTTATAAAGGACCAATTGTGGAATTTACTCTAAAAATTTTGAATAGAAATTTTTACAAGTGAAATTTTCACATTCGAGACTTGAATCTAAGTTTGGCCTAACTCAATCAATTCAATAGTAGTTTTGAAATACCACCTTCCACGTTTGCGGGACAAGTGGTTGCACCTTCTCTGTTCCTTTCTTCTCATTCCTAATAGATGAGGGCCAATCTGTGTATCGTCTTCGAGCCTTCGATTGCCAAGCACGGAACGTAACCCGGTGATCAATGCGAGGGTCCCAAGAAGCATGTTTTTAAATTGAAATTTAGCATAAATTCATTCCTCATATAAAAGTTACAATATATAAATGATTAATAAGCACGATATTCATTCACTAAAACTTTCAAGAATATATAATTATTTTTTTAAAATAAATGACTAAATTTTGAAAAACAAACCCTAATCTAAAGTAATTATAAAATTAAAATTATAAACAAAATTTGTTAACTTAAAAACCCATAATGTAAACAATACAATTATAATTAAAAACAAATTAATTCAGAAATTGAAATTGAATAAAAGATGAAAAAATGAAAAACAAAATGTGAGATTTCAAGTGGACGGTGACGGAAGATGGGTAGACGACCGGCGGTTGATGGTGGCGGACGGAGAAGATGATTGGACAGTGACCGGCAGATGATGGTGGCGGAAGGCGTCACGGAGGAGACGAAACTAGACAACAACTCTTTGGGGTTTCTGTCTGCGAAATTGGAGAAACTAGGAGGGGTTCCCATTTTTAGATCTGTTTTTGGCGACGGATTTAGCGACAGAATTTTTCCATCGCCAGCTCAAAACGCAGCGTTTCAATTATATTCTTTTCGCGACGGAAATTTTCTGTCATTATTTCTGTTGTCTAGTTTGCCGCGCAGTACCTCCCGCCAATACGGAGCCACGAAATGATGATTCCGTCATTAATTTTGGTAGGCGCAAAATTCCGTCGCTGAATCCGTCGTCTTTGGCTTCGAATTGAATTCCGTCGCTATAATCCGTCGTTGTTTTCGCGTTTTCTTGTAGTGTTCCATTGGAGGAAATCCGTATATTTCATTCGCATTGCATTCTCTTCATCTTCATCATCATTTGACTCTTCCGAAGAGCTTGAGTCACTTGAATCATCACTTGATTTACTTGACTCTTCACTAGACGAGTCTTTTGAAGCTTTGAAGGCATTGGTAAGTTTGAGATTTTCACGCAAATGTGGGCGGTTTCGGCCTTGTCACATTTGGGTGATAAATCTACGATACTACTATGCCATTCTTTAGGTAAAAAAAATAAAATTTTCGTATTAAGCTCGGAAGTAGTATATGTCTTACCCAACTTACTCAACTTATTGACAATCTTGTTGAACCTCTTGTTCATGTCTTGGATTGTCTCACTTGACCCTTTTTTGAAGTATTCGTATTCGGAGTTCCCAAGGGCAATCATCATTTGCTTAGTTGAGATGTCGCTTTCATGAGTAGCTTGTAGCAATTCTCATACCTCCTTGGCCGTTTTGCATGAGCCTACTCGTACAAACTCGTCGGGGCCAAGAGAGCAATGGTTGATTGCTTTCGCGTTCATGGATAGTTTCCTCTTGTCCTCCGAAGACAAACCTGCAAAATCACCATTCCTCGGTACAAATGGCCCTTGAAGTACATTCAACCATAAATCATAATCAATTGATGGAATAAAATATTCCATCCACATTTTCCAATAAGAATTTATATTTTCAGACAAAATGTTAATGAAATTGCATAATTATCTTACTTTTTCCCAAAATTTAAGCATTTTTAAATTTTTTATATTGATTTATATATCTAAAAGTTACTTCAGAGTTTAGAATAAAATAATTTTATAGATTTAATATTTTTTTTTGATATTTTAAAATTTTTTTAATAGAAAATGTAAGTGTTAATGTTAATTTAAAAATTTAATAAATTAAAGTTATAACCCGTTGGGTCGACCTGAACTCAATGACACTGGGTCATGAACATACAATTCTCAATCCGAACCCGAATTGACACGAACCCGAAATAACCCGAATTTGAAGTGACCGAACCCGACCTGACCAACCGATTTACCAGGTTAAGAGTAATTTTCGAGCACTAAATTTTTATTCCTGTTTTTAAAACTAAAGGAATTGGATTCAAATAGGGAGCAAAGAAAAACATGAATGAATATTGCAATAAAGGCGAGGATTCGGTGGAGAGTTGATAGATGAACGGCGCAGATTGACCCACTTAGCAGCCATTCATTGGGTTTCCCCATCGCTGCTCCACGTTGCTGAAGGTGGGCAGGGCACGTAGCTAATCACAACACAAAAAGTTATAAAATGTGGCCCGGACGACTCGTGTCGAAAGAAGAAGACACCACCGGACACTTGTCGACTCCACCACCGGCGAGGCGGAAGAACAACCAGCCTGGCTAACGACACGCTTCCCCATTTCAATCCACCTTTCTTTTCCGGTACATATTTATGTTCCAAAAAAGGGTCATCAAGATTTTCTTTTTCATTTCCCCCCTTCTTGATTTCTATCTTCAGTCTTGAGTTTTTTGTTCGTCTTCCTCTTAGAAGAACAAAAAAGAAACCGTGATTTAAATTTTAATCAGATGAAGGAATACAAACGGATCTTGCTTTCCCTTTTCCTTTTCTTTGTTTGGGAATTGTTTGTTCTATCTGGTGTTTGGAAATTGGACTGTGTAGGAGATTATATGGATGTGGGGTTTGGCTAGTTTGAGGCTGCTGCAAAAATAAACGAGCCTGCTTAGTATTTTCATGTCCTGGAAGTTGTCAATTATGAACTTGGGAAAGTGTTATAAGAGTAGTGAAGTGGGTATAATAGATTTTTTGTTCTTCAGGCAGCTGTCTTCTTCAAAGGAAGAGATTCTAGTCCACGTCTCTGGACAAAGATCGAATTTTTATGTGTAACTAGGAATGCTTTTGCCATTTTATTTCAAAAGATTGTGTCTTTAATGTAGTATATTGGCAGGAAACTGTAAAACCTGCGTGGAGACAGTATTTAATTATGAGCAATTAATAATTTTCTTTGTATTTTGTGGGTGTGTGATGAAAATTTTGCTAAGCAAATATGATGAGAAAATGATAAAAGATTTGAATTCTGAATATGTGAATCTATGAAGAAGGTTTCATTTCAATGTTATTATCCCCATCAGATGTAGGTGGAAACTGCCGTTTAACCGCTAGAGAACTGATGGTTTGATCATTTGAAATGCACAACTACAATCTATCTACATGAATCTTTATTTGTTTCTTTTTGTTATGTCATCCACTTGAGGATCAATTTCAAGTTATCAAACTATTGAAACTAGCATAAATCATTAACATTAGCTACATGCTTTTGTCATTTACAGCATAAATTTTTATTTGTTTCTTTTTGTTTTGTCATCCACTTGAGGATCAGTTTCAAGTTGGTCAACAATGGGTTCTTACTTGAACTTCAAGGGGGAAAATCCGCTGACCAGACAACCTTCAATATACTCTCTGACCTTCGAAGAGCTCCAGAGTTCATATGGTGGACTTGGGAAGGACTTTGGGTCAGTGAACATGGAGGATCTTTTGAAAAACATCTGGACAGCTGAGGAGGAATCCCAAGCCTTTGCATCTGCGGAGGCTGCAACTGTCCCGTGTGGGAACTTCTTGCAGAGACAAGTTTCTTTAACACTGCCTCGGACTCTTAGCCAGAGAACTGTCGGTGAAGTGTGGAAAGACTTCCAAAAAGAGGCAGTGTCCAAGAACTATGGAGAAATAACACTGGAAGAGTTTTTAGTGAAGGCTGGGGTTGTAACAGAGGACAAAGAACCTACCGGAGGTACCCTACAGGAACGACCTCAGCTACCTTTGTATTCTAACAAACAGCCCACTGCAGCTTTTGTATCCCTTGGGCATCCACTGTCTTCAGATGTTGTTGCTAAGAGAAACTTGGATGCATCTTCATTATCACCATCACCTTATGTGTTTAATGAGGGTGGAAGGGGGAGGAGAGGATGCAGTTCTTTAGACAAAGTAGTGGAGCGGAGGCGGAAGAGAATGATTAAAAACAGGGAATCTGCTGCAAGATCACGAGCCCGGAAGCAGGTTTATTTATAAAAATCAAAGTAAAGTTTTGGGTTGTGAATGCATAAGGTTGCCCAAATCTCAGATCCCAACGTAGTTGGGATTATCTGGGTTTGTTGTTAGTTGTAACGCATAGCTTATAGACTATAGTTGGTAAATTTAGAAAATATAAAATGGCATAAGATTTGAAAAGCTATTTCAAGAAGCTAATTAAATAAGTTCAAGAGTATCAAATAATTTCACTACCAAATCAAACTTCTGATGTGTCAAACACCAGCATAAGATTAAACTTCTGAGAAATAAACAATAATCCTGAGTAATTCATGCATTAACCTTGCAAACCAAATCTTTTTGCATTTCTCTTGCTTGAATATCATAGGCTTATACTTTAGAATTGGAAGCAGAAGTAGCAAAACAAAAGGAGATCAACGCACAACTGAGGAAAAAGCAGGTAGCTTCACCGCACGAATGAAATGCTTTGTTGCCATATTCAATTGTAGAAAGCTATGGTTGTGATTGATTATTGTGTTTCGCTCGCTTGTTGTTGCAGGCTGAACTTTTGGAGATGCAGAAGAAACAGCAGGTAAAATGTCATGCCCTTTATGCATTGCAGAAGAGAGCCTTTGTCTTGTCGGATTCGTAATAATAAAATCTGTTAATTTGTTACGAAAGAGAAGTTTTGAGGACATGAGATTATTTGTTTTAATTCTAGTTCGTCACATTGCGCGTCTATTTCACAGGAAGAGAAAGAAAAAAGAGGGCATCAGAGTTGCAAGTCAATGTGTTTGAGGAGGACGCAAACCGGACCCGTGTAAAAAGAGTTCCTTGGGAAGAAGAAGCATATAAAGAGATGGAACCCAATGCATGCAGTTAGCTTCATAGAGTGCTCCCACATGTTCTTAGCATTTTTGCTTTTGTTAGTTCCATATCTGTGTTTGTTTTGAAGGTTGCCATATTGTGCAGTTTAGTTTTGTAATTAAGCTCTAATATAATATGAAGTCTTATTGATAATGAAGCGTGCAATCAATATTTATAGAAAACATAAAGAATAAATTATGTAATAGCTAGCCTCCTAACTTTTTCAAGAAGAAGGAAGATGATGAAGATATTTTTCATTTATACCGTACAAACAAGGAATAAGTAGCATATATATACAGGGTCAAGCTAACCGAAAGAGAGAAAGGAAAAATAACACATGCAAAAATATCAAAATATCTAAAACTGAATTAGTTAAATTCAATTGGCATAGAAGTCTTTATCTTCACACTACCCCGACATGCTGGGTGGAGGAGAAACCATAGTTTCTTATCTTCGTTAATATACCATATAATTTTTATATAATACTTTGTCTGTTCAAAAATAAGATTCCGTTTCTGTTAGAATATAAATAACTGTTCTTGGGCCACAACCACACGCTTGAGTTTTTGGTTGACTTGGTTCATTGACATGGTATCAGAGCCTCGTTGACTAAGAGGTCACGGGTTCGAAACTCAGCGCCACCCAGTTTCAAAAAAAATTAAGGTATCATGGGCAAGGTTCAAAAAAAAACTATGCTTGCACGAAGGGGTCGTGTTAGAATATAAATAAGTCTTCTTGGGCCACAACCACAAGCTTGATCTTTTGGTTGAATTGGTTCCTTGACAGTTTCCATTTACGATGATTGACTGAAGTTATTTTCAAATCAATATAAGTAAAAATTGGTATAGAATTAAAAATAAAATTATATATCAAAAAATGATATCAAAAGTTCTACAAAACTAGTATTTTGTCCCGTGTGATGCACGAGATCAAACGAACTTTTTGTCGATTCTGAATTATATTTTCCGGAATCAAGTCAATATATTTCTAACATGAATTTTAATCAATGGATAACAACGACAAAGTAGAATAAATACTATTTAAGGAATTTGTTAGACAATGCGAGCAACTCTAGAGGGGGGTGAATAGAGTTTTTGAGAATGATTACCGATTTTCGCAGGATTAATAATATAAACTTAAGTGCAGCGGAAATAAAAGAGAGAAGGCAAAAAACACACCGATGTATACTGGTTCACCACCTCGTGGCTAGTCCAGTTCCCCGAGAGACTCTCTCGAAGCTACCACTACTTCCATTAAGCTTACGGGTTCTTAACAGACCGTTTACAACTCGAGAACTTGAATCTCACAAGCCTCGACACAACCACTCGTAGATATGCCCTCTACAAGACTTCACAACCAAGACTTAAGTCACATAAGTCTTGAACAACAAGAAGAACAATCTTCTTCAACCTCTCAACAATAGCTCTCAAAAGAGTAGGAATGAGAAAATATTTAGCTCTAATGGATGACAAGAAACCTCTTTTAAAAACAAATAGTTTTCTCTCAAAATGATATAAATTTGAGGAAAGATTGATGGAGAATTAACACCTCAAGAATGAGGAGTATTGAAGTGTTTCTTGTTCTAAAAAATGACCAAGGAAGAGTGTTTAAATAGGAGGTGAAGAAATACATATGTTGGTCCAAGAAAAGAAGCTGTGCTGAAAAGATGCAGCATAATAATCGATTAATGCAGTACCAATAATCGATTAATGCAGTCTGCGCAAAATGATAATCAATTAAATCAAAGGTATTACTCGATTAGAATGCTCTGAGTAAACTAATCGATTAACGGGAAGAAAATAATCGATTAGATCAAAGAATCTGATCGTTAGGCAAAAGTTATTAATCAATTAACCATGAATGTTAAATCGATTAATTGAATTCGAATGAAGGCTAATCGATTAAACCGCGAATTAAGTATAATCGATTAAACAAAAATAATGCGTAAAACACAAAGGGCCCAAGCCAGAATGCGATTGGAAGCCTTTGGCTTCATACTCGTTGTTTGAGACAACGGGAATATCAAGGCACGCTCCTCAGAAAAATATCTCCTATTCAATGAATTTGAATAGGGGAGAAAAAAGTGAGTCCAAAAATTATTTAGTGTGTCAAATGATGTACACGAAAAATATTTGAATAAAATATTTTTGCTTACCAAAAATATTTTATAATATCAAAATAAATATTTGATAAATGTTTGACACACTTTTGTAACTGACTCAATAAATGTATTTTGAACAGTTAAAAGGATTTTTCAACTGACTCCAAAAATAAATATAATTTTTTTTAACTATCATAAAAATAATTTTGTAGAGAATATATTTTTGTCATCCTTACAATTATTCCTACGACTCAAATAAATAAAAAATCTTCGGAAAACTTCTATTCTTCCGAGTCCTCCGTTAGGCGCTCCGAACGCGTCTCGGACTCCAATAAAATCCTGTGCACCTTCTTGAATACTTCAAGGAATGGCACCTCAAGTCTTCGTGTTTGTCGTTGTAGCACTTTGATCTTGACTTGAATAAATTGTGTTTGTCAATCATCAAAACCTGTGAGTCAACACTAAACAACACAGAAAAGGTTGAACTCATGCATTCCAATAGAATTGAATGCGTACTTAAAAAATATTTTTTTAATTCCAATTTTTTTGAAAGACTTCAGGGTACACAACATTTTTGGTATGGTTGTAAGAGTTTTCCAATGTCATCTAGAACCAAGATTTTTAATCAAGTCTTTGCTTTCACTTGTAGAATAGTAACATAAAGCTGACCATGAGTAAATACCAAATTCATTAAAAATAATACAACAAAAGACAATATATGTTTGACCTTAACTTTTGTTAATAGTCATAGCAAAACATAAGACTATTGAGAACTGTCTTCTCTTAAATTTCAGGGGTAGTCTTGAATCAAATGGTACCAAATTCATTTTGGGTATGTAAACCTTTTTTCCATCTCGATTTCCCAATACCTCAATTGCACTCATAATTTTCTTTTACAACTATTCAATGATTAATCTTATACCATTATACAATTTAAATATTTAATCAATGTTCTTCAATAACATAATCGATATCCCCTTTTTAAAACCTGCTTTGTGGTTTGAGATCCCCAAATATTTGATTTCATTAAAAAAACTCAATCGTGATCTAATCATCTTCAACAACTACATCTGAATATGCTAGTCATGAAGAATTAGAACTTAAGTACTTCTTTTCACCTCCTAGAATAAGAGATAAGACAAATTCATTTTCTATTCAACAACCTTGAGTGTGGGTGCTAATAGTGCACTATCCTCAAAAAAAGAATAATTTTCATGTTCTCTAATAGGTTCAGATAAATGAATTTTACTATACTCTTGAGGAGATAACTTGTGTCAAGAATCAAGAAATCGGACGGGATTTCAACATCAACAGTTCCATCGATCACTTGTACAAGTTTTCCATCTTCTACTTTGACTATCCAATCAGAAAAAGTTTGTGTCCCGGTCTGTGCAATAGGGTGTAGATAAATGCAATGTCATATTCTTTGTCAACGTATAAACTTTACAATACAACCACATTTGTGAGGAATTGGTGGTAGCATCTACAATTTCTTCTCTCAAAGCTTTGAGTAAAACTGAAACAATTTGAACAAAATCACATTCGAGTAAGATGTTTTCCCTCTGGATGGTTCATTTCTATGAAAAAATTTGAACACAATCCCATGTTTGTGCTTACTTGTTGGATTAGTTCTGCTTTTGCGCTCCCTTGTTTGATGGCACACGATGAGCACACGGTTAGCGCTAAAGGGATTAAAAATCTTGAGTGTGCTGTCCTTCCCTAGGCAAAAGTAATGATACAATGTAGTTGGATGTGACATTCAAGACAATCTTACCATTCGACCTCAGAGAAGCAGATCAATAGTGATTTCCTGATAAATATTTTTCTAGTTCTACCGTCACCATACACAAAAATAAAACTTCCTTTTTCAGCTGTCACGACTTCCATGATTTTATTGGCTATATTCCATTTCTCGTCATTCATCGTAGATAAATATCTTCTAAAATCAAATAACAATTTTTCTTTGTCATAGTTTAACTACTCTACCAAAAAATTATTTTGATACTTATTAAGTGGATTGTCATCTCGAAATGACATGCCATTGAATTCCTTTAAAGACCATCCATTTCAATTAAGCAATTTTCAATCTCAATTAGACATAAATTCTTTAGGACTTCTAGTGAGATTATAAGTTCTGCAAAAAAAAGAATTAGAAAAATATGTTTTTATGCACTGCTCAATTAGAGAGTTTTGTTTTGATATAATGAATTTCATATGGATTAATACGTTAAAAAACTATTTGTATATTGAAATATCTTGATTACGCAATATTCTTTTTCGATCAAATAAAATTACATCCACCAAGAGTTCCTATTTTTTCAAAACAACTTGTGGGTGACTCATTGTACTTGTCACTAATAATGTGACAAACAACTTTCTTAGACGATTCCCAAATTCTAACTTAAAAACCTCTTTTATACCTTCAATAAATTCTTTATCATCAGTGAATAACTTCAATACTTTACATGTTTCCTCGAATGCGTAATGTAAAACATTGTTAATTGTCTTCAAGCTCTTATAACCTCTACATCCTTGCTGGAAAGTTAATAGTATTCTCAAGTAGTATAACTCTCTCGTTTCTGTAGGCACACATTGTAGCTTGCCTATTGATTGTCTTTGTTGCCTCGGAACTGTTTCCTCACTTTGTGGTTGTACACAAAATATTCTAGAAACTCTTTGCATAAGTTAAATTTTGTCCCCCATTATACTTTGTGTTGGAAATCATCCAAGCTTCAAATATTTAAGCTTTATCAATATTTTATCCGACAACATCTTTTAGTTTTTATTGGTCTCTAAAGGTTACAAATTTTAGTCCTAGGGGGTGAAATTCAACCTCAATACTGATGGCCACCTATGGTGTATCTCAAAAGAGAGGATTTTCCAAGAGAGTTCACATGGAGATACATTATGAGAATCATAGTGCTTCTCCGTTTCATCATACACCATATTATCAACAATATCAAAGTTAGATTGTGCAATTGCAATAGTTACTTTATCTAGACCTTTATTTACATATAAAAGAGATATTTGATTAAATAAGATTTAT